CATATTCAAAAGGATATATCAACATATATATAGTTGTGTAGTAGAATGTCAGCTTTTTTCACAACAAATTCTGACTTATGAACTCAGTTCATGCAGTACTAAAAAAAAATCTTTGGTCTGGTTCTGTGTAATTATCCCCCCTAGAAAAGAAAAAGTACAAATAAATTATCAAAGCTCTTAAATTGACATGACATTTATACCAATGAGTGTATTTAAACTGTTCCCTGGATATCAGTGTTATATATTTTTAACTATATCATCTTTAACTATATAATGTTTATATTAAATTTACCTATATTTATAATTATAGAATATGTATTTTGGGACAAATTATTGCTGCTTTGCAAAAGCCTTATTGTAATTGTTATTTACTTTAGGTATTTAGATATTTATGAAAAGCTCCCAAGAGACCTGAAGCAAGAAAGAAGAAATAAGTCATGAAAGTTGAACTTTATGCTGGATAGAATGTGAGGTTTGATTTATTTTTGTCAACTCAAGCGAATAGTTTTTGGTTACACACAGTATGATTAGCATTTAAAGCTGTTTGTCAGATTACTTTGCTATTCGGAGCAAAGCAATTCAAACCACACTGAATGTAGCCTGGTGACTCATTCTCTCTCTCTCTCTCTCTCTCTCTCTGTCAGCGCAGTCAGTTGATGTCTAAAAAAAGACATAATGGCTGTCTGAAAAATAACTTCCTTTTCTGAGTAATAGTAATTGTTTGAATGTGATAAACAATACAGAAACAGTTAATGGAAGGAAAAATGTTTTCGATTTGCAGATCCTGATCTGTCCAATGTTTTCTGAATCCCTTGCCCCACATGACGGCAACACTTGCGTTCAACCTAAAAAAGCAATATTGCTTCAATATAGGCTGATATGTTTCAATCCGTAAAGGGAAAGTAGAAGTATTTCGCACTTACTTTGTCCCTTGCCTACATGTTAACATATTTCTATGCATATAAATACACACATTTATTTATATGCATAAATATTTTCATGCTGTTGTGTTTATAAAGATTAGAGGCCTGGTAGCGAGCTGGAAAAAGCTCCCTAGTCTCTTCAGACAGCGGAAATAAGTGTTTAGTGTCACCTTAAGTCAGAGGGAATTATACAATATATGGTGTGTTTGGCTGTAATTATCAAATATGTCAGATACATTTGATGGAAAAATTTTATTCAAAATACAGTTATCCTCTTATATAACTCAAAATAGTTTCAGTTTGAAAAACATTCTCAGCTAAAGTAAACTGTATAGGCAGATAATGTAGGTGTATTTTATATTTACTGGGACTATTTGTGATTTTAAAGGTTAAACATTTCCGTATCAAAATGTTTAAACAATGCTGAAAATAAACAGAGAAAGATATTCTCCTGCTTCGTGAAGCTAGCACTTTTGTTTAACCTTCATAAACTCGTATGAACAGAGTTTCAGCTTTGCTTGCTTAGGTCTCCTCCAAGGAGACAGCTCAGTCTGACAGGGAATTTAAGCAGCCATTAGAATCAGCCGTCTAAGTTAACAACACTGAAAAAGGTCAAAGGCAGTTAAAATGACAGGCAATACCCAGCTTCATTACATGGACGCAATGATTACATTTATAAATGGTGATAATGCAGTTTTACTAACAGTGTACTCAAAAATAGGCAGTAATTACAAAAACAAACAAAATTGCAGTGCAAAGCATAGTGGTGCATGCCTCACAGGAAAGACATGGTGCAAAAAGGCATTGATATAAAAAAAGTTCATGTGATGCAAAGTGCAGCAAAAAACATTTGAATTGAGTTCTATTTTGAAGATTCACCATGTAGTGCAAGTATGATGTTATCAGCGTGATGCAGTCTTGATTTGTCACTTGATTTAGAGTTTTTTTTAACAGTAATGGTAAGAGTCTGATGGCAGCAGGGAAAAGCTGTTACAGAACCTGCTGGTCCTGCATCGAATGCTGCAGCAGGGAGAATATTCCATGGTGGGGGTATGAGGGGTCGCTGATGATGTCAAGAACTTGGGCCACACAGCGCTGGGATAAAATGTCTTATGAAGGGAAGAGGAGCCCCAATGATCATCTCTGCTATTCTCACCACTCTTCTTCCAGTCTGAGGAGCTGCAGCCTCCACACCACACAGTGAGACAGCTGGTCAGAACGCTCTCTATGGTGCTTCTGTAGAAGGTCATGAGGATGGGTGGGGGGAGGAAGTAACAGAGCTTTTGTGCCCCTTTGACGAGTGGGGTGGTGTTCATAGTCCAGGTGAGGTTCGGTGATGTGCATCGCCAGGAATTTGGTGTTGCTGGCCACCTCTAAGCTGAGCTGTTGTTGAGCACTGGTGCGTAGTAAGGCCGATTTATCCTGAAGTCGAAGACGATCCCCTTCGTCTTCTCCACGTTCAGAATCAGGCTGTTATTTCTGCACCATTCCACCAGCTCCTGGTGTAGTCCTGGTTGTTGTCTTTTCTGATGAGGCCAAACACCGTGGTGTCGTCTGCAAACTTCCCAATGTGATTAGCGGTGAACCTGGGGTTGCAGTCTTGTGTCATCAGAGTGAAAAACAGGGGGCTCAGGAAGCAGTCCTGAGGGGAGCTTGTACTCAGTCTGATGACATCAGAGGTGTTCTGTCCAACCATGACTGACTGAGGTCTGTTTTAGCTGTGAAGTCTAGCAGCCAATTGCAAAGGGGTGTGCTGAAGCACAGATGCTCCAGTTTTCCTATCAGATGCTGTGGGATGATGGTGTTGAAAGCTGTCCAGGAACAGCATCCGCACGTCGGTGTTCTCCTTCTCCAGGTGTGCCAGGCTCAGCTGAAGAGCAGAGGAGATGGCGTCCTCAGTGGAGCGGTTTCGTCGGTAGGCAAACTGGAATGGGTCAAATGGTGGTGGGGAGACTCGAGACGACGTTTACTTTAATCAGCCTTTCGTAGCTAACTAAAAGTGTCATAACAAAAAATCATTCAAGTCAAACATGTTCCAGTTATAAACTCTTGACTAAACCAGCGTGTCCCAACTAAACTGAGCTAATATGTAACACAAAGAATAAGGAAAAAGAGGGATGCGATGATATTACAGTAGAGCATGGATTTAATGTTTCAGAACCAATGTTTCATTTAAAGAGCTTGGGATGATGTCAAATGAGCTTTTAACTAATTTAGAGGAAAGCATCAAAACAATTCACTAAGGAGGTCAATTAAACTTCCAAGCATGCACTGGGAGAACATGCAACCTCTATGCAGCCACCTTGGTGAAATACTTTTTTATGAAAGGTCTGACTAAATCAGAAATCCATAACTTTTAGGATAATTGATTTATAACATTTGGTCATTGCCCCAGAGAAATTCTTTAAGACAAGGACAACCTAACTTCTTCCGCTAGGTTGGCTCATTAAATTATGTAGCAGCTGCTTTGTCTCCAAGCATGGTTGGGGGTAGGATATCATTTCCCTGTGGAAGTGTCTTGTAGAGTCTGCAGCTCTTGGGAATTGGTGCAACATAAATTAAACTCTTTCTCGTTGATGTAATATAAAATAGCGTGGACATGGATCCTGTACAAAATTAATATTAATGCTTATGGCATAACATGACCAATGACATGGGATTAAGTAATACATCTAATCATTATCAAAATGGTCCTCGAATGGTATATTTATTTGACACTTGGAATTGGATTAAGTTATTTCAAACTTTTAATTTTTAATTGTCCATTTTCCAATTTGCACTTTAATTTTATCTATTCTTACAGTAAAATTTACTTTTGAAGATGTCACTTCAACAGTCCAACTTTTAAAACTTGGTTCATTAGTGTACTTGAGAGGCACAACAAAAGAGTACTAGGCTGTCATAACTGTGTTTATCAAAAACGTAGGCTTTTCTTATAGCAAATGAAGATATATCCTGAAACTCTTACTAAAACAAATTTCCAATAAAATATTTAAGCTTTTTAAACACTTGGTAGCATCGCTGTCTTTTGACACTATGGGATAGTCATGTAATACTGATGGGGACTGAAGTTTGAAATGCCATCAGAGGACATTTTCTGGTGACAGGAAATAAATTAAATTCAGGTGACTGGTTTTCTTTTGCTTCATTTCCTTCAAACAAACCAAGTGTGAATTTTAATGTGTATCAATTATATTTGGTTGAATGTTGCCATTTGCTTGAGTTTAATTGTGTTGAAGGATCTCTTGGTACTTAAAGAGAGTGTTTCTTCACAGTATATTTCTCTCTATGTGACTGTGAATTGGCTGTTAACCAATAAACCAAACACACACACACACACACCTCGCTCCCATCAAGCACCTGCACCATGCATGGTTTCACATGCACAAGCGCTTGAATGCACCACTGCGTTTGTATCCTCTCTCTCCGGTCGTCGACTAACAATCAACCATCCTCAAATCCCCTCTTCCTCCTCTTCTTCCCAGGTGTGCCTGACTCTTACTGCCAAACGAATGGCCAAGAAGAACTGCCTGGTGAAGAACCTGGAGGCCGTGGAGACTCTCGGCTCCACCTCCACCATCTGCTCCGACAAGACGGGCACACTGACCCAGAACCGCATGACCGTGGCCCACATGTGGTTTGACAATCAGATCCACGAGGCAGACACTACTGAGGACCAAAGTGGTAAGACAGAGATGAGGTGAAATTGTAGATTAGGAAGTGATGAAAACAAATCTGCTTAGAGAGATGAAATGATTCAACAGAGAAATAAGCATTTCCATTTTTTTATAAGTCTTCCACATTTATAAAGAACATCAATCAACAAATTAGTCCATAAATTAGGTTTTATGAGATAAAATAGAATGACAGGAGGTTACATGTATTAAAAATGTTTAACAGTACTTCAATAATTGATAAAAATGTCTCTGTTGGAAATAGTAACTTCAAATTCTCTGCTTTATGTGGAAACAATCTCATGTCTTTCTCAGATTGGATTTTAAAGGTCCTTCCAGTCTCTTCTATGTACTATGGATGCTTAAAGAAGAAAAATTAAATAAATAAATATATTGTGAAATAGATGTGAACATACCATGAAATACATACATGTACCAATTCACATCACATTAAAGTATACAAATGTATAATCTATTTATGTATTACATCAATGGATAATTATGTTTTCCATTAAATTATGAAATGGGCAATTAAATAATGAAGTGTGCCATTAAATAATTAAAAATACCTTTTATATGGTGATATTCAATTTTAACCGTTTTAAATTTACAGTTAATTATTCAGTTGTGTGTTTATTTATTTCATGCCTTCAACACAGCAGGTGCATCTTAAAATTATTCATCCTGTCAGTTTTGAACCCTTTAAACTCAGTGGGCAGAATTAGTATGGCTTCTTTAGAGACGATGATGTCTGATTAGCTGCTTCATTCAAGAGAAAGACAAGATAACTTCTTTCAAGTTTGCTAAGACTTTAAAATCAACATTTTCACTGGAAAGTGTGGAACTCTAATGAATAACTTTTTGCAGTTTATCACCTACATTTCTGGGTTAGGTACTTCAGTCATCATATTCTTATTCAAGTACCCAGCCACTGCAAAAATGATGTTAATGTGTAAAAAAGTCTTAAAATAAGTGAATTTACTCTTGACTTGATAATTAAGATGATCTACCAACTGAATGAGTATGTTTAGGTTTGAAATAAGATAATCAGATATTAGTAAGTAAGTAATGTTTATTTATATAGCACCTTTAACAGACATAGAGGTCACAAAGTGCCTTAAATAATTACAATACAAATAAAAATACATTCACATTTAAAGTAAAAAAAGACATGGTCATTAAACAACCCTTATTCTGCTAGAATTAAAATGTTATCTTAAACAAAAAGGTTTTCACTCTGAAAAACATCAACAGAATCAAGTAAGTGCAAGGAAAGCGAAAATCGTTCAAGAGCGCCTGAAAGGAGCAATGTCCCCTCGTCGTGTAAGGAGTATGAGGGACCATGAGCAGATTCTGGTCCTGAGACCTATTATGCTCTTGAAATAAGAGACTCCAGTTTTTTATTCTTATTTTAAATGTAAATTGTCTTATGCAGTTGTCAAAGTGTCTCACTTACCTGCTCAGTTCAAGAAAAAATGCAGTTTAAGAAAATTGACTTACTAAGATTACATTTTTTGATCAGACAGCTAGTTGCTGTGGTCGGTCAGTGAGGTGAACGCTGATCCTGTCTAAAATCTGTGGCAGTTTTATCCACGCTTAAACCACAGTGAGCTCTCTTTAATCAGCTCTTTATATATTTTATAGTACATTTTTAATTACATAATATAATAATTTAGTAAATTCTGTCCAAGCTCTGATCTTTCCTTCTTACCACACATTTTTGTTTTTGACCAATTCCAGTGATTAACTAGGCCATTCTATCAGCTTTATTTCATATAATAAAAACCACATATAATAGCCACATACACATTGCCTGTGTTTTAGACTGAATATCTTGTTAAAACCTTCACCCTGTGCTACATTTGAATTCTTAAAAAAATAAAATAAATAAAAACAAAATATATATATATATATATATATTTTTTTTTTGTTGTTCCAGTTTGGCCACTGCAATAAATATTAAAACTGGACCAAACTGTAGCTCTTTTTTTATTTTATTTAAACTATTGACAAGCTGTAACATGCTTTTTCTTTAGCAGTGGAGTTTGGACAGCTGATGTACTGTTGGTGTTTATTACATGACTTACATTTTCATTCAAAAAATAAATTTTTGCTGCTTCCTATTCTTTCAATAGATCTCCTAATTAGCCGTTCGAAAGGCTTTTTGTTTCTTTTAACCTCAGTGCAAAGTGGTGCAAAGGTCACCTTTGCAAAGCTCGTCATTCTCAAAGGCCATCAGTTACAGTAGGTTATTATACTAGTCAGACAACCCAATTACATATACTGACATATTGTACCAGTATTTTCATGCCTTTTTGTGCTTTTTTTGTGTTATTCATGTATTCGTTTTTCAAAACCATGTAGACTGTTCCCAATATCAGCTGTAAATTTCACTTTAGTAGGCCTTTAAGAAATGTACTCATCGAGAAAAAAAAAAAAAAGGAGTCATCATTTTTTTCTTTTTTTTTTTTTTCCTCTTCTGTGAATTAAGCAAGCTGCATTTCTAGAGAGGGTGAGAGAATGCAGAATGGGGGTGGGGGTGGGGGGTTAGGTCCACCTGCTCAAATTCATTTGTCCAACATTCCCACTGCCAGAAAACATGGCCGTTTACACTGCTGCTTGCATTAATTTAGAAGACGTGTGCCGTGGGTGGCCCTATCCACAGTTCTTCCCCTGCATCTCTGTTGCCACAGAGCCAATCAGATGTCGGCCTCCTGGCCCTGAAGCATATATCAGGCCAATTTTTTCTTCAACAACCCTCAAGCAACAACCAAAAGGTTGGGCTGAAAAGGAGCGTTTGTTCCATGCATAATAATTAGCCCTGACTACCCTGCCATCCTATATTAAGGAGCCAGCGGTTCTAAGAGGAGATCAACCAAAGTTGGATTTTTTTTTTTTTTTTTGGAACTACTGCATGTTTTTATAAGGCCTCTTCTTCTTCACAGTTGTCACTCTCAAAAACTCCAGCTACTGTATCCACTTTCTGTCTGTCTACACAGTAACAGTGACAGTGAGTACTCTCACAAGCAGGCAAATATGAAAAATGAATGCAGCAGACTGCAGGTCATTTTTTAATTCAATTGGGTGGATAGCGCTCAAATTTTCATACAACAAATTCCCTATCAGCTCTTATTTTGGAGGCATTCCAGGTAAAAAATGGATCTAATTTTCCAGACTGGGGGACTGAAAACTCTTTTCCGTCAGGGAAAAACAATTTTCTTAACTGAAGTGACCCCGACTTATGTTATTTAGCTGCAATATCTAGTGCTACTCTGTGAACCTAGAGATGATTCTGTTGAATAAATACTGGATGAGCCATGTTTAAAGAAAGCCTAACACAGCTCCCTCACCACTGCTCCCAGGTTTTGGTTTTGACAAGACCTCTGGTACTTGGGCCTCTCTGTCTCGCGTGGCTGGTCTGTGCAACAGAGCCGTGTTCAAACTCGGACAGGAGGAGCTCCCCATCATGATGGTATGAACATTCATCGCCTTCACCTACACCCTCACAGACACACACGCATACACACACATGCTACAACAGAAGTTTTCCAAATGCTCCACATCAAACTGCAGGCTCATGAATTATCTCAACTCTCTACAGCAGTGGCGTGCAACCCATTTTGTTTAATGCAAGGCCATCATGAGCTATTTCTTTTAGATATGGATCAACTAATGCATGCACATAATTCATGAGACATGATTTTTCCTACTGCTTTGCCAGTAGGGTGAAGTTAACAACATAAGGGGAACATCAGGTGAGCTGTCGCTCAAGAAGAGCCTTGTTAAAATAAAAATTTGATCCATAAAAGTGAAAGAAGTGGTGGATAAATATGCAGCTTGAACTTGAAGATGTGTGCAGATTCTTTTTAAATGATTAAACTTCATATTTTGATCATTATCTAGAGTGGAGCCAAAGACCATTCATGCTAAATTAATTTTCTTCCTTCTCCTCCAATTTGGAAATTATATCATCAGTAGAGGAGGGTAATGTCACAACAATACCAATTTTAGCATTTACAGCATTTTTAAAATGAAACAAGGTCAAGAAGGTGAATATAACATGACATGCCATTAATTATACATATTGTTTGCATGTGTAACATTATGATTTCAATCTAGATTACCTGAAATAATTCATTTATTCATAAACTTAGACTTGGACATACATTCTAATTTACTGCATATAATTAATTTTTATTAAGTAGTTACTTAAAAAAATTTCATCATTACTTCTATACAGTAAATATCTTGCCATGGGTTTCTGTCATCTTTCCCTTTGTTGTGAGATTCTCCTTGTTATCGTGTTCTTTCTGTTTTCTGATTATGGATTCATGGCGCTCAGATGGATAGCTATAGGTTCCAGATGTGAAGATTAATTCAACCAAGTTTTTACTTCCACATAATGTTACCATGAAGTCTCATCTCTGCCCATAATGTGCCACTACTTGTCCAGGGTTTGTTTTAGATAGAGCTACACAGGTATTAGATCTTCACCACACTGCAAAAGACACTGATTTGATACACAACTTGTCATACAATATAAACGAATCATGGCCTCCAAGCTTTCAATAACTATTCCCTTTACAAATATTATTTTAGCTTTTCAAATTACCTACAATTTATTAAAGGAAAAACTCCAACCAGTCACCTTGGCAACATCAAATAACGCCACTTCCCCCATAAACTTGATATCCCTTGCAGCAAGGACTGTCATCAAGTTTTTAGTAATAACTGGCAATGAGTCTGTTACATCACTTGGAGGAAAATGACACAGTTTTTTCCCCCCATATAAATATTTGAATTCTGCCATTATGGAGGGCTTTGAAATTTTTAAAGCGTAAAGATTTTAATTTTGGAACTAGACTGGGTTGTAAATAAATAAAACTTTCCTCTTTTTTGTCGTTCAGATGTTAACACACTAGATCATCGCCATGCTCTGTAATCCGACTATGCTTACCTAAAGGCACAAACTAGTGGACAAAATAGCTTTTCAGGATTTTCTGTAAGGCTCGCAGCAGTAAGGAAGAGAGACTATTAAACTTGTATCACATTTTTTGTCTGTAGGTATTATCTTCTTTTTCTAAAATAGTGTTTTTATTTATTTTTTTATTTTGCAATATGTAATAGAACTGGAGGCTAAATAATCAGTTCAGTTACCAGAATGTTTTCCCAAAGCTGGGGGATCATCTGCTGTAGATGTTTTTGGTGACAAATGAGGTAGACCTTTATATTCTTTTAAGTCACCTGTGGGGTTTACTTTGATTCATGGAGTCATTTTTCCAAATCCCTTTTTCTGTTAAAACTCTTAAATCTAACCTCTTAACTCAGAAGCATCGGAGCCAGTGAGGCTTCTGATGCTTCAGGGCACACTCACATTCCCGGTCCGGTCCAAAGGATTTCAAAGCTAATAAAGTCCATACCTTCTCTTAGTCCTCTTTGCTTTCATGCAGATATTTTTAGACAGGGTATAGATATGGCTTAACTGCTTTCATAGACTGGGATATTAATCAAAATTTAGGTCAATTTCATAGGGTTTCTTTGCTATTTTGCACTTCAAAAATGCAGTTTTGCGCCTGCTCTTTACCATTCCACGTAGCCGAAGGAGACAACTTTTTTTCGGATTAGAGCTCTGAATTTGTTTTTCAGTCTTGTTTTTCTCCTAAATAAATGATAGGCTCTTATGTCACATCATCTATTCATGCTGTTTTTACCCTGACCTAGCAGGAATTCACACTGTAGGGTCTGGATAAACTGTACTAAGTCCTACAGTTACAACTATTCCTGGAGTTCTAGGGTCAGTTTCTAAAAATAATTAAACTTTATTAATCTCACACTGGAGAAATCCACCTCTGCATCTGACCCATCCCCTTGGAGAGCAGTGGGGTGCCATTGTGCAGCACCCTGGGAGCAGTGTGAGGTTAAGGGCCTTCCTTAGGGAGTCAGAGTGGCAGTCTGTGGTAGTGGGGCTTGAAATCAGAACCTCTGTCACCAAAGCGTAATGCTCTAACCATTAGGCCACCATCGCCCCTAAGAGAGTTCTGGATTGGGTTCACACTGATGTCATCTGCTCTAAAAATTGGAGCCATGGAAACTTAAAAGGATTCCAAATGCTTTGTGAAAAAGCAGCCTCAGACTTTTTCTTAGGTTGTTTCGGGACTGTCTGGATGAGTGATTCTGGAAAATGTCTCTCTTTCTTTAACATCTACTTCTGAATGTTCTATGTGAAGATTTTATTTCATTATTTTGTTCAGACAAAATGAAAACTATAATTTGAAAACTGCCAGTTGTAGTTATTTAGGTTATCTTTTCCTGATAATTTAATGTGTTTGCTAATAAATCTGGGTGTGACAATAAAGCAAAACACTCCAAAACTTGTTTTTATTTCTAAACACAAAACTTTTTAAATATACATAGGCTTTATTTTTGTATTTCATAGAAGATCTGCTGGAGGTGCAAAAAAAAAAAAAAAACATCAGACAAATGTCAAACATTGAGCATTATTTTTTTGGACTCAGTGCCAGAGCCAATTTTTCACATTTTGGTTCACTTTAACCTGTGAGCCTCAGATCTAGGTCACAATCACACTTTCAATGCTCAATTTAATAAATATGTGATCTTACTTTGATATATTTATATATTTCTGGATTTATTTCTGATTGTTTAAAAACATGTTAGTCTGACAAGTCCTTTGGACCTTTTTTGGATAAAACAAGGTTTGTCCAATCACTGTTCAATAAGGGACTTGTCACTTTTGGGTGGAGGATTTTGAGGACCCATACAGTATGCAGAGATCTGGAGGCTGAGGGGAATCTTGTAGATTTCATCACAGAACTGAGACAAAAAACAAAATACAAGAACCAAAAGACCAGAAAACGTCAGGGAAAACTCATGTGGGAAGCCAAAGATGAGGAAGCAACTAAACAACAACAAGGACCCAGCATTGAGTGACTACAGAGGTGGAGTATACAAGGGGAACAGAACAAAGGATGGACTAATGAGCTGAATATGGAGCAAGTGTGAGTGGAACTAACTAGAAGGAAGCCAAGGGGAAAGAAAACAAGCGCAAGGGGGAAACAGAGAGTAACTAAAGATTGCTAGAATATAATGGAAAATAAGTCAAAAATCAACAAAAGAGAATAACTGAAAATTGAAAAAGAAAATATGAGTCCCCAAAGAGGAGAACCATAACAGGACTAGTACTGCCATGTCCTATGTGACAAATGATCTGTACAAGTGTATTAACAGATTTTGAAATTAGTTAACAGGTTGTATATGTCAATAACTGTGCTATGTGTAAACATAGCCAGGTTCTGTTTAGTTTTTATAAATGTCATGGCAAACAAGATATATGTACAGTAGCTCCATTTAAGCATGGTTGATAAACACCAACTTGTGTTTTTATAAAACAGGAAACAACTGAAAAATTAGTATTGTACCTTATTTAAAACAAATAAAAGATGTGCAGTATCTGTCTGTTTAGTTATTTTTACTTTTTTCCTCTGATGTTCATCCAATCTTTCAGTTTTGCTAAAGGAAATGAACAGTGTTCTGTAAATAAGCATACTTGCATTGTATTTCAATACAGCAATCAAAAGATTCACAGTTCTCTTCTGTTGACTTAGTCTAATTTTCAGCTCAAATTCACACTTGTTGGCATTCCTATAAATACACTCACACTGAATAATCTTGATAAATATGACATCAGTTTTAGCACACTTCTTTAATAGGTGCAGAAATATGTTATGGATTGTTATTCTGTTAAAAGATCAAATAATTAGTCATTTTTCTTTTTTTCAGAAAGAACTCACCAACTTTTACTAACAATCTCCTAGTATTTTATGCTCTTTATTAAAGACTGCAAAGGCTTGATAGCAGTCTGATCCACAGCCATACATAACAGTTGGCAGGAGGTACTTTGTCACACATCCATCCCTTTTTTTCATGCCAGACTCATGCGGAGTGTTTGTTGCAAAAAAGCTCAGTCATAACCACACGGTTCCAGTTAACAAACTCCACACATTTAGTTTGTGGATGGTTGGAGACAAAAGGTTTTTCACTTGAAAACCTTCCCAAACTACTGGATGGTGTCTTGTGGTTCTAATGGAGCTTTGATAACCCCCCTGATGTTAATCTATGCTGCAGTTCTTTTAGACTCAGTGTCAGCTGTTTTTTACCTCACTAAAAAACCCGCTCTCTCTGTGTGTTGTAGCAACATTAACTTTCTCCTTGTTTATTCAAGGGAGCTACCATCCTACAGCTTTTAAATGCAGGCCTTCCTCAAAACACATGAATTGAATGGAATTGAATTCCCTCATCAGCGTGTTATTCAGCTCCACAGAGGGCTGGTAATGAGGCATTCATTTGATTCAGGTGTGTTGAAGAAGGGATTCATCTAAAACTTAGTGGATCATAGCTTCCACAGAGTGGATCATGACAACCCACATTTGTTTTAACTGTTATTTTATTGATATGGTTGAGTTTAGGTAAGTAGTCGTTTCTTTGTAGCCATGTCCTGACTTATGAAGATTTAAAAAAATCGGCTTCCCTTGAATGTGTTTGATCTTTTGCATATTTTAGAAAACGGATAAAAAAAAAAGATTAATTTGACATATACTATACTTATTCTTTATATCTAGAATTCAACACGTCATGGATTACTGATAAGAAGTTCCTACCTTCCAGTTAGCTGTGAAAAATAGACAGATTTTTTTGTGAAAACACTTTGATAATGTTGAAATTTACAAGGGATGTAAGAATGCAGTGCTTTACCTGAAATTTCCTTCAACAAATAATATGGCTACTGTAATTTAAAGGTAGAATTTCTTCTACTTAATTGAAGCAACACGGTTTACCTTTTAGCCACTAGCGGTGCTAGACCTGTAACTTTGCAGCTTGGCACACCTGAAAGCAACTGACAACACTGCATTCTGGGGCTGTGTCTGAACATCCACCCTAACCCCTAAAATCCCTCAATCACTACATAGAGTGGGGACTACATAGTGCACTTAATAGTGAACTCAGTTAACTGACCATTTGGACAGATGATTCTTATCTTATTTTATTGTTTTATGTCTGTGTAACTTGTAAATATCTTATTACTAATTTATTGCACTTTATACTGTTTGTTGTACAGCACTTTGGGCAGATGTAGCTGTTTTTAAATGTGCTATAGAAATAAAGTTGACATTGAGATGATCATCTACCCTTCGCTCCCCTTAGTCACGTGACTACAGCTCCCCGCATGGTGTCTGCGCCATCTTTGTTCTCTCTCAGCCCCAAAGCAAATCCCATGATCCTTTGTAAGGAGAGCTCTTGAAAAGTATTCTGGAATATATCTGCTCGTTGAGTGACTATCAATGTACACTACTTTTTAATGTGCATTGTGGGAAATTTTGTGTCCACTACTTTTTCACGTACTAGACGATGGGTCACTCATATAAAATGCCGTAACCAGGATAAGGTGCTCTATATCGTAGTGAATTTGGACATAGCTTCAATCTGCCTCACATATTTTGGAATCTTATTGCAAACCCCTTTGGAACAACAGACTGTGAAGTCATGGAGTCACTTGTCTGATCAGGTGTCAGGTATCTGTTTGGTTGCCTAACAATAACTTTATACCACTTGCTACATTGATACATGCTTTATATTTGTCACAGTGAGGTTGAAGGTTTGACAGGACCGAAATGTAGACTGAAGCTGAGGGAGTTTTCTTTAAGTTTAATTAACCAAAAGTTCAACAGAAGCAAAAATCCAAAAATATAAATAAAAAAAAAATCAGAAAAATGCACAAAACCAAGAATACTCACAACAAGAGGGGGCAAAGAAATGATGACAAACCAGCCAAGAGTGACTGAACAGTCGGAGAATAAATGGGAGAGACAATCAAAGACCAGACTAATTAGCAGATTGGGAGCAGGTGTGAACAGAGGCAAGAAGGGAGCTAAGGAAAAGGAGACTGACACAAGAGGGCAAACAGGAAATATCCAAGAACTCAAATACAATCAAAAATACCTAGAACACAAGAATCAAAATAACACCAATTAAAACTCAAAATAAAACAAGAACAAAACCAAAACCATGACAATATTGACCTGAAAAATTATTTAATGTATCTCAAATTAAGCAAATTCTTAGACATCTGGGATGCAGAAGATGCTATAATTCACATTAAAGTCTATAAAGTCTGTTCTACACACACCTGGCCTACACCCTTAACCTTTTCTCAGTTATAAACACACACAGAGAACCTTCCAATACACTCAGAGAAAAGATCTCACCCGTACGGACACACAAAAACATGCACCGCTGGGTGGGTAAGTCAATATTATCCCAATGTTCTACCAGCCGCTTTCCTACAGCCTGTGCTTCATTGACCCGAAGGAATTCTCAATGTGGCTTGCAGTTATTGGATTACAACTTCTTCTGTGAGAGGACAAACGTCTCTGTTGAAGTCTGTCTGTCCCTCGTGGTGCCCGGCTTCCTCCAGGCAAAAAAAACTAACAGATGTGTCTCATGACAGCAGTCAAACTCAGCAGTAGAGGTACCGCCGCCATTACTAAAACAAGTCCCCATCTGCTCGTGTGAAGACAGATAAATGGAATTTCCCTTGATCTATTTATTCATTCATGAAAAGGCACAAACAAGGACAAATCTCGCGGAGCGCTTGTCCTTGTTTCACGGCTGTTCATGAATGAATAAATAGAAACAAAGAAATTTCTTGTCCCAGTCGAAGTCCCTGTTGTATTTATGGGCGTCAGGTCATCAGTTTAGCACTTATTTTCAAGGACTGCTGTTATCATCCCGGATTATTTGTTAGGGGAAATTATGTTTATTAATAATTTTTATCTATTGAATATTTTATATTTTTATAAAACGATAAATATTGCTAATATATAAATATTGCACATAAAAATGCAAACTTTGAAACCGCCCAAAAACAAAAGCAAAGTGGAGTCATTTAGAGTTTTAAAAAGAGATTTCTTGACATTTGTGTTTTACATGACTCCGTTTTAGCATAAAAACAGACATTTACAACAATTTTCTAAAAATGTAGGTCAGTTGTCATCCACAGAAGTATCTGTTATTTGTCAGTTACAATTTTATCAATTAATTAAAGACTGATCTTAACCTCTTTCCTTGGAAATACCACATCCTTTTATAATGAGGTATTCATAACAGCTGAAATCCGTAGCATTTATTAGGGAAAGTCTGCAAAGTCTGTCAATCATCCATATCTACACCCCTTAGGTAATTGCAACCCCAACTGCAAATCTTTCTTTGGTAGCTAGATCTGGAAAAGCATGGCTTATCTACAGGCTGTATTCTTTAGCTTGAATCCAGATATAGTTTGATTCCTGCCACAGATTCTCATTGGATCGGTCTAACATTTAGTTTTGCTGTTTTGCTCCAAGGTGGACCCCCACCACAGTCTCATCTGCTTAACCAGCCTGCCAATTGGAATGTCTTGGGTCTGCAGTTGTGCTATATGATATATATGTATATATTTTTGGAAAATGTGTGTTTCCAAATGCACCTAAAAAGCAAAAACAAAACAAAACTGAGGATTTCACAAAAGGGGTGGATTTATTCGGAAAATAACTTTAGATTCTTTTCACAGATTAGTTGATTTCTGAAGGTGAACTATTACTCTGGATCTTCTATAAGGGTATCAGAGAGAATGTAAATAAAAATGACTATTAAACTCATTGCACCGTTGATGTCCTGTCATGATCTTGGCACTGAATTCAGCTGGATTACTCATTTCATTCACCTGCCTAGCTCTGCACAGTTTCTCAACTCCGTTCTTCTTATCCACCTGCTCCAGCTTCTATTTAATCAGCCCTCTAACCACTCATCAGTGCCAAATTGTTCTTGAGCCAGTGGTGAGAGTGTTCCATTATTACCTTAGTGTTTCTGATTACCTTATCCGGACTTGTTCTAACTCTCAACCACTGAGCCTGCCTGTTCCCGTCTGGACTCCTGCTGGATTCTGCCTGTTTGCTGAACTTGGAGCTGTTACCTGAAACTGACGAGGTTTTCCCTTTGGAACTTCTTTGGACTTTTGATCTCCTGGTTCTGAATCCTGAGCACTGGCTTTGGCTTCGCACTCTGGATTATCCTGCCTTCCTTCAGGTCTGATCTCCTGCTGTTTTCTGTCCTCTGGGACTACAGCATCTGGGCGGTACCCACCGTGTGTTGTTTGACATCCAACCGGCTGGAATGAACCTCGTGCTCTGGGCATGGACTAAACTATAAAACAAAGGTTCCTGATTAGACGTCCTTGCTGATCCGCCTTTTTTTTTAGAAACACTTTTATATTATCTGACTGTCTGTCTGCCTTAAATACTGGGTCCCCTGTTCTGAGTCCTGACCATTTTTTTCTGTAGTTAGCAGTTTGGCTGTTGGCTCAGCATAAAATTATCCATAAATTCAAAGATACTTCAGGCTTTAGTGTGACACAGGTAAAATAGTACCCTTTTGAAGACATTGCATTTGGACCGCTGAGTCTAAAAAACAACTGATGAGGTTCTGATTCCTTCAGGTCACGACTCTTAATAACTTAGCTGTTTGTAATAATGATCCGATTCATTACTCAAGCAACATTTATCCATCATCTAAAGCTATTAAATCCAAGCCCATATCTAATTATTAAAAACGGAGTATTAGAAATGCTCCAGATATCCTCTAGTGTGCTTTTCTGTGAGACACAAGCTTTTTAAGTCAATTTATTATTTTCTTACTGAATAATGATGAATACAACTTGGTTCTGTATTTCTATTTCAAACATTCAGCTATAGCCTATCTTTAAAAACAAGCCTGTGGGCAAGTTATGAGCGCTGCTGTACATGTGGCTTCCTGCCTGAGTCATAAATGAGAAGCAAAATGGAAATGAGCTAAATTTTCAAAGGTGTCTCATTTAAATCATTAAATAAAACACTGTAAAAGTTTTCCTTCAGTGCTTTGCCATAAACACAAACCATAAGTCATTTTGTAGTATGCGGATATGAGTGACTGCACTAATGTGATCCTGTGTATGTTACCCCAGAGGGACACAGCGGGGGACGCGTCAGAGTCGGCCCTGTTGAAATGCATCGAGCTGTGTTCTGGGAGTGTTCGTGACTTGAGAGACAGAAACCCCAAAGTGGCTGAGATCCCCTTCAATTCCACCAACAAGTACCAGGTAAACATTTATGTCCGTCCAAGGATTTATTCTGGAACTACTCCTATTGAAGTTTGTAACTTTGTTCCAGTCCTGCTGTTTTTAGGATGGATTTTATTCAAATTGAATCTCAGGTCGATTTGCCCAAGGTTACAATCATTTATCATTTTGTCCATGAAAGAATATGTTTGAATTTTAGGCCATTAAGCTAGCCAAAACCACATTTTTAGACTGAGAATTGAAATATCATTAGCTGAATTGAAACAAAACTGAAGAAGAAAAAGAAATAGTTTTGGACCAAAGGCACACAGATTCAGCTAATGCAGCAAGAATCATAATCTTACAAATAAATGTGTTAAACTTTGGTAGAATTAACAACGGCAACAATGTCTTCACAATTCTCCCTAACAAAAAATCTATCAAAAAGCTACAGCTGATCCAGAATCCTGCTGCCCACATCCTCACTACAACTAATAAAGTTGACCACAGCTAACATGCTTATTCTGGCTCCTCATATCTCAGAGAATAGAACCTAAAATAGTTCTGTTATTCTGTCGATCACTAAATGGCTTAGCAACAAAACACATTGCAGACTTGTTGTCAGTGGTTCAACCATCCAGACCTCTCAAGTGTTTATGTTGCAATTTACATTGGATATGAAGAACCAGAGCCAATCATGGAGATGCAGCTTTTAGCTCTTATGCTCCACTAAGCTGGAACAAAGTTCTGAAACCCTCAATTGCTCTAAATCGAAAAGAAAAATGTCTTTATTTAGAGCCACCTTTATGGTAAATACTGTATACTATCTAAACTTTCTTAACTGTTTAAGTTTATGGTCCAACTTTTTTAAAATTTTACTTCCAAGGAGATTATATTTTTAGTGTTTTAAGTTTGTGTTTGTCTCTCAGTCAAAATAATAAAATGAAAAACAATGAATGGATTTTAATGATTTTTTTTTTTTTTTTTACTAAAAGGTGCACCTCACTCTAAGTAACAATCCTTTAAAGCTGTGGTCATCCGGATCATGATCCGGATGCAGGAATTTTATTAAAGGATTCTTTAACATTATTTTGCGGAACAAGCAGTTTCCCGCTTAACCAGAGGGTGACAGCAGTGACTACTGACAACTTCAGCATCTGAATAAAAAAATCCAGAGGTATTATAATGAAGATAAAGAACGAAAAAAAAAACACAGGAAAAGGGAGCCATGCCTCACTCAAAGTCTTGAACTTCTGATCAAAGCAGACAGCAGAGTGTGGAAGGAGAGAGCAGAACAGACACCAAAGGCTGCAGGCACAGGCTGCGACTTACATATATGAACTTATAAAAGGATTCTAAAGAATTTTTTTTCAGAGGTGAGCCTTATGCCAAGGAATAATTCATTAAAATTTGATAATGATCCAGATCATGTGTGAGTTTTAGCTACAGTACAGGTGTAAGTCATAAAATGGGGCAGAATGTGCTTCTTGGCACTGCGCTCTCTGAGGGCTTTTCTAATTTATTAATAATTTTGTGATTCTTTTTTAAATTATCTGGCAATGTTCCTTTACCTCTTTATTATACTGTTGCATACATTACTTTGTCTTGCTATTGAATTGAGTTATATAAATAACAAGCCTTGCTTTTGTTAACACTTTTCTTTACACTAATATACACATTATAACTTTTTAATACTATTTTTTATATTTTTGTTCTTTTTTGTTTACACAGAAGAAAAAATGGATTCTTCTTATATAGAAATTTCTTCTATAGTTTTTATTAGTTCCAGGGAAGTTAAACATACGTTTATATTCCTATTAAAGGAAAGTAGCCTGAAGATGTCATGTTCAAAAATTTAACACATTAGATAAAATGTGCTGCAGGTAAAGAATAAAGCTTGTGTGCAAACACACACGGTAAGATACACACAGAAAAGCTGTCCAAAAATAGAAGAGCATGGCAACTGCAGAGATTTACTGAAATCCTGCGGACAGAATTTTCTCAGTTGGTTGTTTTTACTGACATTTTATCAGGGTTGTTTTACGACTAAAATAATTCAAATTTCTATTATTGCTTATTTGCCCTGTCAGGAGCCCACAGCAATCCTTATACGTGGAAGACAGCCTCACTAATGTCCCTCCTGGTCAGATTTTAGGGCAAAAACGAACTAAGCGACTGTTTCGGGTCCTGGGGCAGAAACTGGTCTGCAGAACAATTAATAGGTGTTCTTTTTTCCATGCATAATTATTTCTCGAGCCAGAATGACAGACAGAAGAAAAAGGACCAATGTAAACTTCTAAGAGGCAATCTTATCTTTGGAAAACAGTTAGATGGCGATGAGAGTGCACCAGCTTCAGAGATTGAAAAGCTTCCAGACATCCTAAAGCTCAAATGACCTCATTTAGTCTCTTGCCTCTCTCAAAATGAGATCAGAGTTCCCCCCAAATCTCTGGGTAGCTCTGTGGTCTGCTCTCTCCCTCTGATGCTGAAACTGCAGAGCAGGGCTTTTACAAGCTCAAATTAATACAGAACTACCTGGGATCTTTCATGAAGGATGATCGATTGGACTTACTGTGAATCAACAACATCATCGTCTGTCGGATCATTGACAGTGATGTCATCAACGACTTTGCAAACAGTAAAGCTGGGAAGCACAGGTTTCAAGGAGTGAGTGGCTATAAGGAAAAACTGCAATAAAAAGGTTGTTTGGGTTAAGATTTATAAGGAGCTTTATAAGGAGCTTTAGCACATACTTGCATACATCTACATAGTTTTAGTGTTAATTATTAGACTTTAAATTCTATCTAATTTTTTTTATCTGCAGGTAACTTTTTATTTCCATTATTTAAGAGCAGGCTTTATATTTTACCGTTTATTTGATTTAATTATGTCTGTTTTGTGCAGTTTCATTCATATTTATCTCTTATAAAAGCTTTTTAGTTTGGTTGTTGTTGTTGTTCTTGCACTGCAAATTATTTTTTGCGCATTATTTTTGAAGTTGTAACAAAAAAGTATAAACAGTATGACACTTTACACTCAGAGATGTCAAGCACCAAACTGAAAAAAATACTGTGTAACCTCACTTAAAGATATAGAGGACGATCTTTTATTTCCAGGTGGATCATCTAAATAAGTGGTCCTCTTAATTGTCAATCATTCTGTTTACGTAAGGCCGTTCAGCGTGCTTGTCCCATTGACTATATCTTTCTGCGTATGAGCACTTTCAGCCGTATATCTCTGGTGAGGTATGGTTTCAGATAGTCATTGTAGCTCACCTTTCTCACCGTGGTTCTTTGAACATGACTGACGGTCGTAAGAGAAAAAGTGTGTACGAAGTGTATGAGAAGAAAAGAAAGATGGAGAAGAGGCAGATTTGCTGTCACAGCGGCTCGCTGTCTTCATAGATTGTCACTACCCGACAGTGGACACTAATAACAAAGATGGCGGAGGCACCTAGCGATGGAGGAGTTCACCATAAATTCCACTATATAGTCCCCACTATATATATATATATATATATATATATATATATATATATATATATATATATATATATATATTGAGGGATTTAGGGCACAATAAGCTTGTATGANGAGGCACCTAGCGATGGAGGAGTTCACCATAAATATATATATATATATACCACTATATATATATATATATATATATATATATATATATATATATATATATATATATAGAGTAATTGAGGGATTTAGGGCACAATAAGCTTGTATGAGCTATGACAACAGCAACTTTTAAACAGAGCCTGCACGAGTAGAAATGGGCTTGTGCATTGCACGCGTTTAATATGTGTTCCGTCTCGGAAGCGGGTACAGGGTTGTGCATGTGCATTTTTTTTAAGTGGAGAGGGGGGGGTCTTTTCAAAAATTTGTTAAAATCCTCCACAATACCCATAAGTAGAAATTTTGGTCTGGAGTAATTATTTTAAGACAACTTGTAGTTTCTATTGCTTACATTTTCTTGCAATTATCTCTAATTTCTACTGCTTCCATTTTAAATATAAACTTGTTAGTTTTGTTTCATTTAAGCCCATTTTGGTTATGGCCTGTTGACATCTAAAGTAATAAAAACTATCAAAATAATTAGTTTCATCCAGAAGCGAATTATTTTTGTGGTTTCACTCGGTCCTGCACCAAAAAATCGTTTTTCAAGATGATGCAAAGTAAAATTTCCCACTGTTGCCATTCGTTATAAAACAAAATAGATTAAGTATAAGGAAGTTATCACCCACAATTTTAGAGAAATCTTCCTTTAATAGGCTGGTGCAGTAACTTTTTTTCCTCCAATACTTTAGAAAAATCAATACTTTTGACACCTCTGGTTACTATAAATAAACTGCGTACTTAGTTATTTTAGAATTTTAAAGATTATTTCTTATGCTATAATGGGCTTTATTTTTACAATTTTTGAAAGTATGCAGACAGGAAATGGGTTTAAAGAGGGAGAAGACATGCAGCAAAGGGCACCAGGCCAAGACTCAATTTTAGTTTTAGTAACCTATTTAGTACCAATAGGCGACTGCAGACAGCACTGGCAGAGCTGTAGTGAGTTTAAAGCATCTATGTGAATGATCTGATCTTCCCACTGTTAATTGCATCAATATATATAAAATCATGGCTGAAGCAGAGGGCCCAAAAACAAATTTTGCTACCTCCCTTAGAGGTTTGGGTCGGACCTACTCCTAATTGATCTAAGTTCATTTTCTTATATCAGTATTAAGGCTTCCCTTAAGAAGATAGACTAAAATGATGATATGGCACATGCTCCCAACTTTGTAATGTTAAGGAAGCTCTGGTTCCTTTCAGTAGCTTTGGCCTTTTTTGCACTAGAACACAAAAACTACCTTAGTATTAATTAACCAAATAGCTTCTTTTTGGCAGCAAAGTTCTGATTTTACATTTCACGTTTCGAGGCATATAACTCATTAAATGAGAGGAAATGAAATATTTGTCCAGTACTTGCTTCATCTTAAAGATATATTTTCATCTGGCCTCATTTAAAACAGCAATCACTAGATTTTCTTTTATCATAGAGTGGTATTTTTGCTGGTTAGCTTTCATTTTCACAAAGATTAGAACAGATTTGACCTAATATCTAACTACATGGCATATTACGATCCAAAAGGGTAACATATACTTAATAATACATCATATAAAGTAATCCCAATATTTTTTTTTATATCTTGTGTAACACCAGATCAGCTATTACTGCTTGTAGGTACTGTATCTCCCTGTCAATGTTCTTATACCCAGTGCACTAGGAGATCTGAGTTGGAGAACAGCAGTTATCTTGTTGCTCAGAAAATACTCTCTGCATGCTTTTATTACACCTGTTGTCTGACTACAAATAAAAATGTCTGTGTCAAAAAGGAGGAAAAAGGCCATTTCTGGTTTTCTGAGATTAAACAGGCTTTGACTTGGATACAAACTATCTGGGGGACTGTGTGATGAGTCTTGTTAGAGAAAGGGCAATAGAAAAATATATCATGCCAACAATTCATGTGAGAGTGTGATTGAAAAAACAGCATGAATGAAAGGAATGCATATGAGTTTCAATGTTTGTTCTGTCAAGTCAGCTTTGATGTGACTTTCATTTAAATCAGTTGGAAGATTGCCACAGCAGCTCCCTCAAATGATGTTACAGAGTCCTTTCCTAGTATCGCTTTGCTGAAAATCTCACTCTCTTTGAAAGAAGAAAATTGAACATTAGTAAATCAATGCATGTTTCTTTTTTATGTGTCTTTAAGCTCTCCATCCATGAAGTGGAGGACAATCCCTCTGGTCATCTGCTGGTGATGAAGGGTGCACCAGAGAGAATCTTGGACAGGTTTGTTCATCAATAATTTAATATTATTGGAAATACTGTGTTGTTTATCATTTCGCAATAGAATGCAGATACTCTGCATTTCTGGTGTAGTGGAGCAAATGAAAGCAATGACTTGTAAAAGCGTATCCTGAGCCTCATATATTGTAGTCATTGATCTTTTAAATTTCCAGTGTTGTATTTAAGTATTAAAACAAGGCCAGAAAGTTACTTTGTTGAACATGTTGACATGGTCCTTCATCATCATAGCCACACACCCTGTAGTTTATTCAGATTTAATCTTACATACACCATCCGTCTGCTGCAAAGTGTCACAGCAGCAACAGACATAAATTAATCTGCCAGTGGAAGCAATCTACAGCAAATGCAACATGGCCTCACACTAAAGTAAAATATCACCCCGCCTCCTACAACACAGGCTGCTGTGCAACTGGTTCACCCTCTAAAGGCAAGATGTACCGTTCTGAGCTGGAGCTTTCTATCACTAATCTAAACCAGTGGGTGAAAATAATTCATTATTTTTATTAATGTATGTGTTATCATCTTGACTGCAATTTTTATTACTTATATAATGTCTGTACATTAGTACCTATCCCATTTTAATGTTCGTTATGCTGCATTAAACTCACCAAAAGTAATTTAAAAAAAGCTGAGCTACAAAATTTGCTTGCGAAATTTACATGAAATCTAACTGATATTGGCAATTCCTCACTATACCTTATTGGGGCCATCATTCATTATTGCCTATAGCTAAATTTTAGGACCACCTACCCCTATTTTGGACAGAGAATATGGATGTTTGACATGTAAAAGAAGCCATTTATGTCAAACCATCTCTAAACAAAGGAGGAGCACAGAAAAACAAAAACGTATCATTCAGCAATATGCTTAATGCTAACCTTCATGCATGGGACCAAAACATCTCCCAGTGAGCCGGGCAACAAAGGCTCTAACGAGCCCCATTGTTAAGGGGGCCTAACCTGCATGTTAATTTGGATTGCTTAACAGCTAACGAATGTCACTTTGAAGCTAGAAACTTCTCCCTCACTAGCTCATAAAGAAGCTCATTGGATAAATATTGACATTTCTTCAGCTGCTTTTTTAACCTAAGAATATGCCGATAGTTTTCTTATCATTAGCAATTTCACTAGCCAATGATAAGATAAGCTTTAATTGAGCTTTAATTGTTAACTTTATATGTGCTGATTATATATATCTGCTCAATAGGTAATTGTGAGCCATTTATTTGCTATTAATTGTTCAATAGGGTTAGGTCATTATAAAACATGCATTAGCTGTAAGTTTTGTAGGAAATTATATGTAAAGATTTAATTAACCAGTATATGTGGCTATTAAAAACAAATTATGCATCTGGTAGGGATTGAGTGACTTTTTATGTAGTATTATTTCATCATTAGCTGTTTAAATTGATATATAAGCAGATAACAAGAATTAATTATTACTTTAAGTAAAATGCCACTATGTAAAGGTTCAACATTAACCACTACTTAGCTAAAAATCTGCAAATGGACATAGACAATGATTACTAAAGGGTAAGAATAGATTTATTGTCCAACTCTTCAGAATATTGCATGATGAAAGATTTGTCAGGAAATCATTAGGTGATCATTGATGAACCGATACCTTAGCAGTTAATACTTTTGACAACTTCTAAATATTTTACGGTTTACTAGTTATTTACAAATCCTTTTGTAACGATTAATTGTCAAACAGATTGACTGAGTGATCAGGTTAATAAATCTTATGTATAAATCTCATCGTTTCCCATAATAATGTCAGCAAGTATTAGCTTGTAATTTTCTGTATGACAAAATGCAAATATATAATAAATGTGATTAACCTTTTACCATTTATTAACTAGTTTTATTTATTTAAGAGAAAGAGATGGATAGTGCATATTAATGAACATTTGAACAAATATAAAAATGCCATATTATGCCTTGGGCTAATTTCTATCTGCAGGCCTCTCTGGCAGGTTGCTATTATAAAATGAGTAAAAAGGCAAACAATTAAAAACAGATATTATATTTAAATGGATATTTGGTATTCAAATCAGTATTAGTTGATCTACAAGTAATTGACATGCAATGTTTGAACATAATGGTCCCTGCACGGTTGAGAAAATATTTGCTATATTAAGATACATGTTTAATCAGTGAATATAAAATTATGTAAATATTACCTTTATTTTATGTTTTATTTATTTATTTATTTATATGTGAAAGGGACAGCATGTATTAACGAACAGCAGGAAACGTAAATACACTTGGATTTAGCTCAAGGCTAGTTTTCATCCATAGTCCCGTAGGATAAGGGCAGCAGGTACAAGGAGAAACATAAGGTACCTGTAACAAGAAATAAAGACCACAGATGAAACATACATGTAACAAGGACAAAAAACACACAAAAATCATGAAAACAATAGAGTCTCAGAAGAAATATAATGCAATACCAGCATATGGCATAACACGCAGAGAGCAGGACTGCTTACTTGAGGTAGGCTGATGTTTTAAAGGTGCTTTCAATATTCAGTATAATAAATAATAATCCTGCCTACTGTACTGTGGATTTAAAACTATATGAGGTCATTTAATAGTGAGATGACCATTCAATTAATTTTTACTTATTTTTTACAAAATGCAAACCAAAAAATAAACCTAACCTTAAACAAATGTTTGCTCTTTAACAACATATGATCATGTAATTTGTTAAAAAACATTAATTTATAAAAAGTTAAGCAGTCAACTCTAATTCATCAGCAGATATTTAACACAAACCTTTTTGATATAATGAAATCAATCATTTAAACCATAATAACCCATTTATTAGCTTTTAATAATAACAATAGTCTTTAGTAAACAGGAAAAAAAACTTATTGACATCTAAAATCCCTTTAATTAAGAGTGACCTGGGAAATAGAAACATAGATTTGGTGACCATAAACTCCTTACAATGTCAATTCAACTATTATCAAGTTCTTATTATTAGATAACATAAAAAATGCATTTTAATTGCATAATATGTATTTTCTATCCATATAATTGATAATATCTAACAGTTAAAACACATATTCAAATGTTAAAGCATATTTATTGTTTTCCAGTCTGACATAGCAGCTATTTTATCCCCAAGGGTGGAATAATTGACATATATTTGGTCATTATTATGACCATTATTTCAGGCCATTATTTTAAGGAGGAGTGACACTAAGTCTGTTATTAAATGTTACAGGTGCAGTACAATCATGATACATGGCCAGGAGCAACCTCTTGATGAAAGCTGGAAAGAAGCCTTCCAGAATGCCTACCTGGATCTGGGCGGACTGGGAGAGAGAGTGCTCGGTATGTGTTGCGGCATTACAAGATGTGTGTCTGGTAATAGGTGGAGAGGAGCAGCAGTTGGACACAGCACTTACTTTTTATTATCTTCTTGGTAAACAGGGTAGTTTGCTGAAAATGTCCCCATAAAAGTGCAGACTGCTATCCTTGCAACAAAGAAAATGGCACTGCGGTCTAGCAAAGAAATACAGCAAAACAAAAAAAAAACTGAACTAAAATGACCTCTGTTTAAAGAAAAATGTATTTCTTGATCAGTTTACAAAATGTCCTTGCAGATGTTCTACGTAGTGTTGGTAAGAGTTTGGTAGAAAGCAGGTTACGTAAGTTAACGCAGGTCAAATTCATGACCGAAATATAAAATGATGGTTGTAAAAGGATATTTTCCCTGGAAAAATGTCAGACACCATTTTTAGGTAAAAAGTCATTACGGTAACCGTCTCCAACATCTTCTCTACTCCGACTCAGTAAATGTCACCATTTTGACAGCAGAGAGAGAGAAAAAAAAAGCTTGGCATATCTTTTAAAAAGTGTCATAGGTAATAATTATGTGCTATCATCATTTTGTTAGAGTAGATGTCACAGCAGCGGAACGAGGCACATTGCCACCTTTAGAGTGAAACTCTGAAAATCATGTAAATTATTGTGTCTCTGTAATACCTGGTGGAGGTGATGATCATGAGTTGCATGTTTCAAGACAAAAAAGAAAATGTTTTTTAAAACTTTTTTGGGTAGATTTGCCTTTCCATCAAAACAAATGTGTTTTGTTTTCATATTTCTATGCAACAAGATGCATGCATGAAAAGACTGATTCTTTAATTATAGCAATTTTAGTATAAATTGGCAACTTTCTAACATTCACCTCCTGAATAAAAAATACAAATCAATCTCAGAGAAAGAGGACGTTGTATTCTATCTGTTATGTAATAAATTGTTACTGATTTAAATGTCCGATTTAAACTTCCAGAATTCAGGATAGCAACTCCCCAGTATAGTTGCCGTGGTCTTTACCCGAGAGTGGGCAATGAAACATTATGGGTTGGGCGTGCTTTATTGGTGAAGTAGTTAGCACACACAACCCATGTACGGAAGACTTAGTACTTGATGTAGCCGACCCGGGTTTCGAATCCGACCTGTGGTCCTTTGCAGCATGTCTCTCCCCCTCTCTCTTACCCCCTTTCCTGTCAGCCCACTCTCCAAAAAACGAGCTACTAGTGCTGTAAAAACTAAAAAAAACCACTTTTATGAGTCAGAAAATAGCCATGGAGTGATCATACTGTACTGAAACTTACATGGATTCTATTTTTCTTCAACATTTATTAAAGGTAGAGTGGAGAATGTTCTTTTTTCTGGTGGATCATCATAATATGTGGTCCTCCTAATTGTCAATCATACTGGTGATTTGTTTACGTAAGGCTGTCTTACGTGCTCGTCCCCATTTTCACTGACCGGTGGTGAGTTTGACATAGTGGAAAAATTGCAAATCTCCTTTTCGAAAGTAAGCTTGTATGAGCGATGCAAACAGCAACTTTTATGTTGCGTTGTTGCGTGGACGAAATGGGCTCGCACATGCTCTTGCATGCTTTTAATAGGCGTTCCAAGTACAGGGTTGTTCATGTGCATTTTTTGCAGAGAGGGCTGGTCTTTTCAAAAATTCAAAAAAATCCTCCACTATGCCTTTAAAAAAGTTGTGCTTAAGATGAAAAAAAAAACAATTCACAAAAAATATTCTGACTTTTTGTTCTTATAGATTATTTAAATTTTGCACGTGGTATACATACTTCATGACATTATGAGAATATTTGGTTAATGAATGTTAATATTTACACTGTCTGTGTTTTTGTAATCTCTGAGTTAAAGAGGCACACAAATGTTGTCCGTTCCTGGAATGATTTTCCTTAAAAAGAAGCTGCAGTAAGTTCAATCCATGATGTGCAATCACCTCCTTGATCCATCCTCTCCTCCAGGATTCTGCCACTTGAATCTCTCTTCATCCCAGTTTCCTCGAGGATTCAATTTCGACTGTGACGAGACAAACTTCCCCACAGAGCAGCTCTGCTTTCTGGGTCTCATCTCCATGATTGATCCGCCGCGTGCCGCTGTGCCCGATGCTGTGGGTAAATGCCGCTCTGCTGGCATCAAGGTAATCGGTTGTACAGTTTTATCTGTCATTGTTGTTCCTGAGAAGCCCTTTCCTGTGGCTTTGTAATGTCAAGCTTTTTAGAATAGGTATTGGAAAAATCAAATGTCTTTTCACATCACAGCTTGGAGTTCAAATCACCTCCAGAGCCATAATCAATGATGACCAGCAGACAAATAAAGTTCATTTTATACAAAAAAAGCTTGTGTCATTACAGTGGCCACAAAATACTTTGATTGATTTTTTCTTCAGAAAAATTCAATCGAATTCAGTTTATTTCTATAGCGCCAATTCACAACACATGTCATCTCAAGGCATCTTACAGTTCACCAGATCATACAGTCAAATTGATTCAAAGTTTTCTAAGGAAAACCAGTTGATTGCATTGACTCATTGACTCGAATGCAATCCCTCACACTAAGCATGCTTGTAGCAACAGTGGAGAGGAAAAACTCCCTTTTACAGGAAGAAACCTCCAGCAGAACCAGGCTCAGTGTGAGCGGCCATCTGCCGAGGCTGACTGGGGTTCAAAGAGACAGAAGCAGAGATATAAAAAGCACACACAGCCGGGCAGACGAGCTCTGAGCCAACTCTCATGTCAGAGGATGAAGAGAGCACATCCAGCCAGTCACAGACAGTCAGAGAAACAGGACTACACTGAAAAACAGGCTGATCTCGGACATCTATAAACATAAAAAAAAAAAAACAAATCATAGGAATTAATCATTGTTTTCAGGGGTTGCTTAAAAAAATCAGAGATATAGTTAAATAATTTGAAAATGACAAAAGGGACACTTTTTCAGTAAAAAGTAAGCGCTAGAGGTCATAAAGAAAATAAATCAGTTTGTTATGATAGCTGTTTCTAAAAGTCTCCATCTGTTAAAGTCTGTATTAATTACAACTTTAATCAGCCGCTTACACAAACAGAGAATGCTTTGTCAGAAAAACAAGCTCGGCCAAAGAAAGGTTAGCAGATTGCCTGCGGAGATAGAAATGGGATAATGAGCAGGAAAAGCCGTTCTAATTCAAGGCAAGACTACAAATGCGGAAAAAAGGGATTTCACACATTTAATTTAACGACTTTATCGAGCTTTCATTAGTTATGAATTTTTGAAAGACACACAATGATTGTTTCAACATAGTTTCCTCCAACTGGAGGAATGTGAATGTGAAATATGCTGGAGTTAATTCGAGAAAAAAAAATATATCTTTAAAGATGTTTTGATTTTTTTTATCAGAAAACTGTCACCTTTTTTTTTTTTAATGAAGCATTTCTTAAACAATCTTTGGCTTGTCCTTTTTCATGCTTGTTCATGTGTCATTAATATAGACTAAAATTAATTACTTATTGTTTGTAATGAGGAAAAACAAAAAGTAAAACTAAAAGTAAATCAGGAAGTCAGCATTTAGAGGACTGATTTTTTCTGGCTTTCTAACTACAGGTTGGTCTGATGTGAGTCAAGAAGGTCAGTCTACTGCAGGTTTCAGTCGCTTCCCTGTTTTAAAGCACCCATTTGAGACTAGTGCAGTTCAGTAAAAGCCTTTTAATCAGCCATCAGGTGTGTTAAAGCAGAGAAACATCTGAAACTTTAGGACTCACTTGGACCTGCTGTACAGGAATAATTGCAACACAAAGAGTTTTACAAGGATTCTGCCTTTTTGAACATACTTTCTATGTTGTCAGAAATTCTTGTACCAATTTAGAATGCTTTCTTTATCTATTTTTCAATTATCTTTTCTGTAGAAAGTCTGAGAACAGAGCTAATATAATCCTGGCTAAACTTCATATTGTGACAGAGTGTTTCTGAAGCTTCCCGCTTGTCTCCGTATCATACTAACCAAAAGCTCCACGTATTTTGCTAGACTGATTTTTGATTCCTTATTCTGTATCAAATGATTCCATATCAACCTTGAGCTCTTTAACTACATTATTCTTTTCTAGTTTAAGAATATATCACATTTGTATAGCTTTCTATAATTAAGCTCAAACATGCTCCCACTCATGATGACCCAGCACAGTACGCTTTCTGATGAGAATTTCTGCCTTTAACAGGTAATTATGGTAACTGGAGACCACCCTATTACGGCCAAGGCCATCGCTAAAGGGGTGGGCATCATCTCTGAGGGCACCGAGACGGTTGAGGATATCGCTCAGAGACTGAACATCCCTCTGTGCCAGGTTAACCCCAGGTGTGTCTGTGTGTCAGAGCAAGTTGTGGTTGTGTGCTCAAGCGTCTAAGGGCAACCCACTGTGAGATTGTTTGAGCGGTTCAGGATGTGAGCAGTGGACTGTCCCCTGGATGTGTGTGCCAGAAGGAGGAGTGTGTGTTTAAAGGAAGGGCAGGCAAATATAATTATTCAGGACTTAGATTGGAAGATGCTCAGGTTAGATGCTGTTAAGCTGAGCTAATAGACGGGGAATTAGAGAAAAAGGTCTGGTTTCACCGAAGTTATTTAAATGATAGAAAGTTATTTCAGGGGACAAAGATAAGAAAACTTAACAAAAAATGAATATTGCGAGTCTCAGACTGAAAATTAAAATGACACAAAATATTTCAAAGGAGAGGTCTATGTGGTCCGTCAAAAAAATATTTAATTGAGTTATTTGTCCTTTTGCTGGTCTTTGTGCAAAAAAGGATAAAACAAAAAAAAAATTATGATATGTTTCTGAAAGTGTGTGTTCTTTTTTATTTTATTTGATACATTATAGAAAAATAGCAGGTTGTGGGGACCGAGTGCACCTTGTGGGGCCAGAGACCTGGACCCCATGAGGGGAATTATGGGTCAGGGGTAACTTTTAGGACTAAGGCTTAAATTCAATTTAGGTTAGGGTTAGGTATGAGCCTGTAATGGTTATGTATTGAGTAAGGGTTACAGTTAGGCAGTAGAGATGGGTTAGAATGGAGTTAGAGTGAAGTTAGGGCCATTTTTAGCATATTTATTAACCTTCTGAGACCAAAAGGGGACTGAAGGCTGTTCCTTATGTGTTGGACCCCCGTTTTTAATGTTAGAGAGTCAGGTTAGACTCTCTAAGAGAGGTATGGTGTGAATTAACTGTGGGTTAAGGTCAAAAATATGCTGGTTATAGTTAAGGTTAGAATAAATGTCAGGGTTAGCTTATTGTTGAATTCTCTATGTTATTTGGCTCCATGATGAAATATACCATACAGACACTCCCACACAGACATTTACAAACCTTTTTAACGTCCTAACTGATCTCTACTGACTTCCTCTTCTCTGACCCCAAAGCAAACCATTCCTGGTATAAAACCTAACCATAATCTAATTCACACTCCTTAGTCCTACACCTAACCCCTAGCCTACAGTGGCGGATGCTGGAGTTTTCTCCAGGGGTGGGGCTATAAATTAAAATATACATATACCAAAAACCAATCAAACATATACTAAGATATCACACCAGTATATTTATATGAATGCCAACAACAAAAAACATTAAAGAAACACTTTCTAAAAAATAAACAGAATTCATGTACAGTTTACTTTTTGTGCATACATTCTGCCCTACTTAGGCTTTGTGAAGGCAAATCTGTGTTTTTCATGGTCCAATATTGTGTCACAAACCCCAAAAAATAATGTATCAGTTCAATAATGGAGAAACTATTAGTCAGCTTTATATTTTTTTTAATATATAAAAAATATTTATTATCCGATATTGTGTTTATTTTAAGAGCAACTATGCAAATTAACAAACATCTATAAAAGTGACACTATATTATATTATTTTCCATGTGAATCCTAGATTGTTCATGCCTCTTTGCCTTTCCTAAAAAGTGCTAAATCAGTCCTACCTGTCTATCCATGCTGGGTCAGATCCTGATGTTTGAAAAAGGAGGCAGGGAAAGCAGAATAAAGCGTCAGCCCCGCTGCATGCAGTTAGCCAAGCCTTGAACCTAAATCAGGTCCTGGTAAAAGACAGAGTGTACCGTCTTTTTCCAGGACAGACAAAGTGTACCGTATCCATCTGTCTTAGGGCTGCTGAATAATATTGAAGTTCGGCTGATCAGGTCGAAACAATTTCACCTTCTGCTTCTCTCGTAAGTTTGTTTTAAGGGATTTCACTCGGCCTTTCCATCACCTACACTACGACTGTGATGACAGTAGCTGCCACCTCAGGGCGCACCAGAGCTTGCCTATAATTCTTTATTGTAGAGGAGTCACTGCGCATGTACAACTTTTAATGAGAGTCAATGGACAAAAACATTTTGCGCCCTACGGCAGAAATACGTCACCAATCGGACAAAAGCGAAATTACGCTTTACTTGTGGTTCAAGATTAATCATTCACATCTGGTTCAAGATTAATCATTCACATCTGGAACATATATATCAATATATTTCGAAATATTTTAATTCTATAATTTAATTTTGATTTGTTTTTTTTTTTTATATCTTAATCAAGGTCATTGGGCTGGTGGGGCAGCGCCCTCTATTGGCGAGCCGCCACTGCTAGCCCAAACAAATTCTATTCTATTTTTTATTTTATTTTATTCTATTCTATCCTTTCTTCAACTATCAATGTCATATCATTATTAACACTGGTTATGTTTAAAGTTATATAGAATTGAAGAACATTTTTTTTTTTGTTTTTTTATTGCTTCGGTATGATCAGTTTTGATGCTTTTAAATGGGAGATTTTACTCCTGGCTGTCTCACCATTATAGCTTCCTACCGCTGTTTGGCATGCATTTGTTTTTCTAATGCCTAAATGCTGATCCTACAGAACAACCTTTTACAGCATTGTGTATTTTGCACAGCATTAGTCGACATATTCAATAGAAGAGGCAGGCAAGAAAATGTCAAATCACCCCCTTCCTAGCTTGGTATCACTGACTCCGTGGTGTTTTTGTTCATGTGTATGCCATTCACAGGGATGCAAAGGCTTGCGTGGTGCACGGTTCAGACTTAAAGGACATGAGCACCGAGTACCTGGACGACCTGCTAAGGAACCACACTGAGATTGTTTTCGCTCGCACCTCTCCTCAGCAGAAGCTCATCATCGTGGAGGGCTGCCAGAGACAGGTCAATGGTCAGACATGTGTTTGTGAATGTATAGTTGGCCCTTTTTAGGGAAACATTCAGCTAAATTTCAGGAGGTTGGTTCATATAGCTGAATACAAGCATGTGTATCATGTGATAACCCCAGGAAGGATGCTTGAATGTGCCTGCTGACGACTAATTGTGGAGCTATGCTTGAATAAAAGTGTGTGTAAGGAAAAGTGTTTGTGTGTCCCTGCCATTTACTGCTGAATGCAGCTTTCTATGTGTGTTCGTTTGAGTGTTCTTGAGCTTTTTGTTCAGGCAGGTGGTTCAATGGATGAATACATGGTTTTGTGCCCGCTTGTTCATTTCTGTGAGAGTTCCTGCAACAAGAGCTAGTGAGTATAAGGGTAAAAACAAGAGTAGATCTGTAAGGTATATTATTAACAGTAAGTTAAATTTCCTGAAAAAAAAAGGCTTTTATGCAATGAAAAGACATTTGATCTGAGTATTGCATTCATGTATTGAGGTCATGCAACAATTCACACTAGCTTACTCATTCTGACGGCATCTGACTGAATGATTGCGACTCTATTTAAATTTCTTTACTAATCTCCCCAGAGCAGCTCTGAAAAGACATTATTAAGACAGAGGGGGAAGGGCAGTGCAGAAAGTGATGGTAGAGGGGAAAAACTTAAATCACAGTAGGCTACTTATCTTTCTCCTCTTGACAGTTTTTGTTTTTTTCTTCTGGGCACAGGGGGCAATCGTGGCCGTGACGGGGGATGGAGTGAACGACTCTCCGGCTTTAAAGAAGGCAGACATCGGCGTTGCCATGGGGATTGCCGGTTCTGATGTGTCCAAGCAGGCAGCTGACATGATCCTGCTGGATGACAACTTTGCCTCCATCGTTACAGGAGTGGAGGAGGGTGAGTGCTAGGTGTTGAGACGATGACAGAATAATAGAAGGAAATGGTAAAGAAAAAAATAAGCAGTAGAGAGGGAAGGCAAAGGAAGGTCAGACAGAAAATAATACTTTAGAATAAAACTTTCCAATTAAAAGCCGTGGGACAGTAGATCAGTTTTTCTTGTAAAATATTTTATGAATCAATTCAGTAAAAAATATTTCATTAATTCCAAAGTCTCAAACTTAGGGCCATAAAGACTAGAGTTCCTTTTATGTGTCAGATACAGTAAGTGGTAAAGCTATTCCTCACCTTCATTATCTTTTATTTTTATTGTATATATTTGGTTGTGCTTTTTGTTTTAATGAAAGATCAAAATACATTTTTTTTCAAAATTTTCTATAAGTAAAATTAATTTATACGTTGCTCTCTTTACCCTGATTCCCCTGAAGTCGTCTATTGAAGCCAATCACCTTCAAGAGTCACTCAATTAGCTAAAAGCATTCATCAATGTTTAAATTAGGTTATTATCCTGTGAAGGCCCCAGAGGTGTTTTAAGGAGCATTACTAAGCAGTCAGGGTCATGAAAACCAAAAAACAGCCAGATCTGGGTGAAGGATTTTAGATTCATTTAAACAGGGGTTAGATTATAAAGCAATATCCCATAATTCGGATTATGGGATTTAATGATCCAAGACAGAAATAGTATAACACAGAAAATAAAGACTGTGGGATGATGCCCAAAGTATAGTTTTTGCTAAGAAGCTAGCAGCGTATTAGCCTGAGCAAACAATTGCCATGATAACTCATGCTGATAGCATTATACTGGAGGAGTACTTTTCTTCACCAGAGTCATAGGAATGGGAATATGGCTAGAGCAAAAAAAAAAAATCCTGCTAGAATTTACGTAAAAATTACACCTGGGCTGGGGATTCACCTTCCAGGTTGACAAAAACCTAAAGTTTCAGCTTGTGTGCCGACAGAACAGTTTAGATCAAACGACATTCATGTTTGGAATTACCTAGTCTATTAGTCTATTACCTTATCAAATCCATGGCAAGACTTATATTCAGAAAATAACTTTATCAGATCTGAATGAGGTTGAACTACTTTGGAAAGAAGAATGACAAAAGCTCAGCATACAGTACCATAGATACCCCCAAAATACATCCAATGAAATAATCTAAGCTTTATGGCATTAAAGATACAAATAGGAAAAGTTCAAAAGGTATAGACTCGTTTTCACACCACTGTATAAAGATGCTGAGTAGCTCAGAACACACTGATGTTTATTCAAGCCTAGGGGTGGATTTAGAAAATTTGGGGCCCTAGGCAAAGACAGGCATGGGGCCGTCTGAATTGAGAAGACAGCACATTAAACAGACCCATTATAGAGATACAGAAATTTTAATAGAATAGAAGCACATTATTATTTTTATATTTTTCCCGCTCTTCTTCTCCTTTTTCTTGTGGTTTTCTTGTGAATTTTTTTTTCCCAAGCACTAAGCTCACTTAGCTGATTGCTACTTTCTGTGTTTCCAAAAAGTCAACGGCAAAAGCAAATAACTCAGTCCTTCTTTTCACCGTAGACAAGCCATGATCTGCTTATCTGTTCTCCATTTTTCATTTGGATTAAATAAAAGCTGCATGAATCATGACAGCAGACAAGATAGATGAGAGCAGGAGGCGGGGTTACCAATCGACTTGCTCTGGAGAGCAGAGTTCAGTAGCAGAAAAAGATTGGATTGGGCTCTAGGCACTTTTTTGAAATAAAAGCATTAGAAGGGGTCTGAAAAGTAGCTAAATATGGCTATAAAAGCGCTAAGTTGGCAACACTGCTCTTTGCACTGTTTGTTTTCAAATGGTTTGCTGCTGCTTGTTTGGACCTTTCTGAACATGTGCAGAAAATGGACTGATCCAATGTGGTGGACACTGAAAGGGGGAGGGCTGAGTCACACTTAACAATTAACAAATAAGTAATAGCTGTATTAACCATAACTGTAAAGGGAATTTTATGGGGCCGCCAGGAACTTGGGGCCCTTGGCCACTGCCTAGTTTCACCTAAGGGTAAATCCGCCCCTGTCCATTCCATTGTAGTAATATAGTGAATATTGTCCTGATACCAGCTCTTAGGAAGTATTACAAGTATCACCCTCTGACTCCAAAAGATGCTGATGTAAAATACTGACAATGCATCTGCTGAACTGCAGCCTACAACAAACAATAATATAGTTTAGGTACAGTCAGTGGGAGGAGAAATGAAACCTGATGGTTTTTCTAGGTATGAATCTGAAGCAGCAGACTAAGCCCTGTTGATTTTTATTTATCCGGTTTTCTTTCAGTTGGTATTTTCACATCTCCAATCTACAACAGCCTCTACAAACAGCAGTCATCTTTTGTAAAGTGGTCCTACTGAGCAAATACAACAGACATCCAAAGGGCCCTCAGAAACAGACACTTTTGTGCAGCTGTATTTCTAAATGCCAAATGGAGCATGAATAGACAGTGCAAGAACGAAATGCTCAATTTCAATTCAAATTTTATCTGACTGCTTTCCAGGTAATTTCATATCAATTAAGCTTGTCTTATAAACGGACTTAAATGTGTTTTTTTTTTTAAATACATTAAATCAAAAAGAACGTAACTGAAAGGAAGCTTAACTTCCAGCACAGAAGAGACAGATGCAACAAAAGTTTTCTTTCAGCTAAAATATAGGAATGATTTATGGCTGATGAAAACCAAACAATAAATCATTTATGGCACCTCATCAAACTTTTCTGAAAGCTTGATTTCATGAATCATTGTCTTTAATTCTCTTCTGTGAGAAGCAATATTCCTCATTAATCTTGTCAACAAATACAATTATATATTTTTGATAACTAGGTTTGTTTTTTGAGGTACAACCTTCTGTCTAATATGAACAGTTGAACAAGGTTTTTACATACATGGTATTAAAAGTCACAAAACAAGATTTTTCTTGCTGTGACTTGCATTCGTTAGCATTTTAATCATAATTCCAAAAGCTTCTTGTAATACTTTATTGTAATTTAAGCCAATTCCTCCTGACAAACTGAGTCAGGTCTGTAAGCAGTTTTGCTTATACACTCTCACTCCCTCATTATTTTTTTATTGGACAACCCAAAACAGTTTTTCCTGTACTCATAGGATCTCTGTCATTTTGGAAGACCATTTTGTGCCTAAATGTCATTCTTTCCTAACCATGCTATCTATTTAGTGAAGTGCACCAGTCTCTCCTGCAGCAGAACACCCACACAAACTGATAGTGACGTTCCTTTAATGTTAGGTGTTGTTTTCACGCTTTTAAGTTTCCCTGTTTTTTCACAAATGTAGCTGTGATCATGATGAGCCAACACAATTTAGATACATCAAACTACATGTTTTTGTCCCTGAGTGCATTTTTAAAATGTAACTTGGCTTCCCTGCATAAATTCTCCGTTATCCGGGTCATGGCAACCACAAAACAGGTGATTTGAGGTTGATTTGAAAGCAGCCAGACTTTTGCTCTGTTTGTTCTGCAGACATTTCAACACCTATTTTCACGCTGGTGGGAGCCAGCAAAGGTCCAATTGCCTTCCAATTAAGCCTGTTTTCTGGTTGTAACTGGGCTTTTTATATTGCCTTTTGAGTAATGGCTTCTTCCTCTACGAGTGGCTTTTCAGTCATTCAGTTGATTCATTGATTAATTGATAAGAAATGTTTTGTAAATGGAAAAATAAAATATTGTACCTGAATGAATCCAGTTTCCAAAGGGGAAGAGTGAAGATAATCACATTGGCACTTTAATTATAGATTTCTTACTACAATATGAACAAAAGTTTATCAAGTCCATGTCCTATTTTGCCTGTTTTAATCAAATAGGCATTAGCTAAGCTTTTATATTTTATATCTCCTTCAAAGCAGAAGATGTCATAAAGCAAATTTTTGGAAACATATACTAAATGGAACCAGCTTACCTCTGGAAAGCTGTAAAAAAAAGGAGTAACAAAAAATATCTGTCAGGCCCTAAGATGAGAGAAATCTTAAGGAGGGAGCAGAATGACCTGGCTGAGGGTTCATATATTTTACACTGGACATTATTACGGACAGTCAGCTGATTTAGCACATACAAAGTAACAACATACAATATCCTAGCCAGAGATCTGAGTGTCTTTTAAGCTGCTTATCAGACTTTTGACTAGAGCAAAATCTGACTGCTTTCTAAAGAACAGAATATGAAACTTAAAATTTCAATGAACCCCTTTCTGTGTAGATAAAGACACTCTTACTCATTATAGTAAACTTTTTTACAAGTTGTATTCGTTTTCTTGAGAGATCAGTTCAAACATTATCCACTAAAGTATCTCCTGGGCATCAATCTTGACTATTGTTATTACATAAAAATTATCAGATTTTAAACATGGCAACCTGACATTTTTTGGAAAATGGACAGAAGGATAAATAACATCTATAGAGGTCCACAATTACCTTTTTAATTTCAAATATTTTCAATTATGTTAGAAAGGAAATCAGGGTGTTTGAGGTGTTGCTTTAAAATATATCTGAGAATATTTTCCTGTTTTTAACTTAGAACGATGTAAAATAACTCATCAGAATGACCATGCTTGTGTTTTCTGTTTAAGGAAACAGTGTTTTGTGGTTATTTCCTTTAAAAGGATCTTAACATAGTCCCAGTAATTACAATAAAGGTTTTGTTTAATTTCCCATGGTCTAAATATTCAGTTGTTTTTTTTTATAAACAAGTGCTGTAAGTCATCTTACATTTCTTTATCTTGCCTTTTTTGTAAAAACGAAACATCAAACAAGACATAAATAATGAGAAAAACAACTATATGGTACAGAATTAAAAGGAGCACTGCGTAATTTGAACAGTATTCAGTAAATTTAATGTGACATTTCATCGCACTTTGAGATCTCACTTGAGAGTAACACTGACAGCGGTGAGATGGGACTTGAGACCTGCCTCGGGTGACAGCTGTTTAATTGAACTTGGGCCGCCTGATATATTCTGGAAAAAAAAAAAAATTTAATGAGGTTATGCTGATAAAGCAGTTAAAGGGAATTATTAAGAAACAAGAATTTTTTTTATCTTCCTTGTTTTCTTCCTTGTGAAAAAGACGGGTTTTGGGATGTAGAAAAACGAGTATATGATACATTATTTTAAAACCTGCAAAGGAAAAATTTGAAATTAAAGAAAATAACAAAACAGGTGAAGCAACCAGGCTGTAATTTGTGTTTATCCACAGTTTGAACTATTTTACTGTGATGACATTATTTAACAACTATGGCTGCAACTGCAGCTGTAAAAACTAATCTCAGGAAGTTGGGCTTTTGTTGATTTGGATATATGCTGACACATACAGAGCCATAAGGCTGAAAATGAAATTCCTCATAGGCTCTATTGCAGACACCTGAAGGTTTGGGGTCAAAACTATTTGCAGCAATTTAGAATATATGCAATTGTAAACCAAAGTGTACACTCAATTTAAAGTAAAGAAAACACTCATTATTTTGTTTTTGGTTCTATTAGATACATTCTCCAACAAAACTTTCAGCTAGACAGTTTTTTGTTTAAAGAAAATAATTCAGATTTATATCCTAAGACCTTTGTCCATATATCCTGATTGTTGTCTAATGCTACGTTCAGACAGCAAGCAGCAGAGGCAGCAGAAGCAGCT